TAAATTTCTGTACATCTCTACTTGAATAAAAACATAGGAGTTCACTGTGCTGAGAAAACCTGCGACAGCCACGTCGAGGACTAAGGCCTCCATATGTGGGTTGTGCTTTACCCCTGCACAACCACAGCACATCCAAGGCAGCCTTTATTTTATTTATTTATCTCTAGTGGCCTTTATTTGATAGTTAATTGACAGGAAAGTGGGAAGACATGCAGCAAAGGTCGCCAAGGATGAGAATCAAACCTGCGACAGCCACGTCGAGGACTAAGGCCTCCATATGTGGGTTGTGCTTTACCCCTGCACAACCACAGCACATCCAAGGCAGCCTTTATTTGAGCATAGTTATTCAGGAAAGGGGTTACTGACAGAAAGGAAGACCTGCAGCTAAGGTCATCAGGTTGGGCATCAAACCAGCGAAGGCTGCGTCACGGACTAAGTCCTCCTTATGTGGATTGTGCTCTACTCCTGCACCACCGCAGCACCCTGGTTGGTACAGAATCTGTCCCTGGTAAGCTTGAGTCATGGTGTCAGATGTGGGATACAAATATGGTATTGAACTTAATTCTTTCAAGTAAAGTCAAAGTAAAAAGGTCCTTTAAGGAAAAGATTTATAACTTTTTTGGGGCTGCAAACTTCTTAGTTTAGTTCCAAATTAAAATATTTAGTTGGGAACTACTTAAAAGTTTGAGTTGACTTTCTGTAGAATTAAATCAAAGAGATTTTAAATGTTTATTAGAACAAAATAAATGATTTGAGTAAGAATGACTTAAATTTGTCATGTTAAACACCTTATGAATTAAGTTATAAAAACTTAGCAAATTGAGATGGAAGGACTTGGTGAATTGAGTTGGATGATCATAATAAATTGAGTTGGTCAGACGTGGGACACGAAACTGGCATTGAACTCAATTGTTTTAAGTAAAGTCAAAGTGAAAAGTTCCTTTAGGTTACAGATTTGTAAGTTTTGAGTTAAATGAACACAAAAAAGTAAGTTGTCATAGCAAAAGCAAAATAATTCAGTGAAATTAATGTAAACTAGTCCATAAGAATGAACTGCAGCCAACTGTGGGTTGGTTCACTCTTGACTCACAGCAGACTTCCAGGCCACTTCAGAGAGCTAGACCCTCATTTATTTTACTACAAAAACTTCAGACATGTTTTAAGATGTGGCATTTGAATTATCTGGATGCAAATGAAAGCATTAATTTAATTACTACTTAATAGTGTTGTGTAAAGTTTGAAAGAAAAAAGAAATTGTGGTTTTCTAAGTGCATTACCAACTGTCTCCCAAAAGATTTTGAAGATGGTAGTAAAATTCTCTCCAACTCAAAGATTCCAGACAAAGCTGATCTGCAGATGGAGTTCTCAGAGTGACCAGGTACTTCACTAGTCTTTAAAATAAAATAAAAAATAAAAAAACATAGCTGGAACAACAAACAGAAGGACAATTCAGGTGTCCCAGAGAACTGCATCTCTGAAGGTAACCTCATCCTTCTCTGCTGTCATGAGAAAACCAAGGGGCGAAGTCGTTTTGCCTCTACAAGAAGGTCGACAACCTCACAGAGGGCAACTGGGCAGAGTGCAGCCGTCCATGTCCTGGACCATGGAGTGTGTGACAAAACTGAAAACAAAACAAAAAAAACAAAAAAGAAAAATGTGCTCTAAACCGCAGACAGCAGGAGTGTTTCTTTTGTGAGACCAATTTGACAGATGACCCAGCAGGTGTGACTTCTGTCTGCAACCACAAAACAGAACAAGTGATGTGTTTTACAGCCTTTACTGTTGTAGCCAAAAAAAAAAAAAAAAAAAAAACAAAAAAAAAAAAAACATATCTATTGTGTAGGGCTCCAGTGAAACCATACATTTGGGGTTTTAATTTTATTTTATTGTTGTTACCATTTGAAATAAATTATTTTAAAGGCTTTCAAAAACAAAAATTGGGCTCACACATTGGGATTTCTTAAATTAATTCAAGGGTAGATTATATTGAAATCAAGAAGAAAACTTAGATGTTGCTTAGTAAACTACACCTCTGCCACATGCTGTTTGTAACCACAGTCAAGGTTAATCCTTCCAGGTTATTGAATTTCTTGGCTTCTTGGAGCAGAAGGGAATTTGGTAACACTTTATTTGAAGGGGTGACATTAAAATGCCAACCTTTCATGATTTTGTATATAATGACAATTTAATGCAAAGTTGGCATTTTTAATAGACTTTCAATGCAACTTCTAGAGCAACTTTGCATTAAAAGTGTCATTATTTACCGAATGACACTTCATGATAACCGTCATAAACATTCATAAAGACTTCTTCATGTTCATGACGGGTGTTATGTCATGTTTATGACAGTGTCATGTCAGTCTTATGCACAGAAGTATGTGCAGAATAATTATTCCATTTAATGCACTAAAGTCACAAATTGTACATCGCTTCTTACCAATACACACTCCCAACACGGTTGTTGTCTTGTCGGCCATGACGGTCTTGAAATCTGATGTTTCCACTCAGTTCTGGACATCTAGGTTTCTTCTTCCATTTCCACTAATAAACAACCAGACAGCAGTGTTGTTTTAGTGGTCGACTGAGGCACAGCATGGAATAGCAAACTGCATGTCATGAACCAAAGACGACAGAGGACGGTAACTCTGCCCAACCCCAATACCACCTCATTTGGGATTGACAAAAATGCTGAAAACAAAGAATAACAATATTAGAGAAGTCGTTTCAGTTCTCCTGTAAGCCTGGTCTTAGGTACAATGGGTGTCTGCCGGCCTTTCATGAACTGGGAATTGTTTGTTCAGGAAGCAGCTTCGTAACTGAAAGATCCACTTCCCGTTCAACTCTAGAACCATTTAGAAATCACCTATAAACCAGCAAACTGAGAGCCATGTGTTCTGATGAAAACATAAGCTACAGTCAGATCTGTGCTTGATTATTCTGGGTAAACATGGAGCAAATGAGAGAAGTTGAAATTAGAGAAACAGAATCATTTCCAAACACATACTATTTGTAATTTATAATCTGAAATCCCTGTTTGAAATATTTTTTTGCAATTTCTGAGATTCAAAACTGACTGGCCGTGGCCCTGTTCAGAGAACAAGGCAACAGGCTCCACATTGTTCAGTCCAAAACTCTAATCACCAATTATCCAATTAAATTTTCTCTAGCAAGAACGTCCAATTACACAACACATAATCATAACACAACGATAGCTACTATGCTATTTTCTAGCCTGTGCCATCAGCTGGATGAAACTGCATTTTTTTTTTTTTATTCATAGGCATTCTGTGATGACATAGAAAAAAATATTCTGGCCTGCTTTTGCACATACATGTGTGTCTACATGTGTGCATCCTGGTCTCCAGACAGTAGACTCTATTGTGTTTGTAGCACAAACACACTCAACCAGTCTCACATAGCTACAGAGAGAGACTGTCATCTGTTTCTCATGTACTCCAAGCTGCTTTAATTTCACAAGACAGCTAATTGCAATTAGGATGCATAGGGTGTTGAGTTGGGGAAAAAATAAATAAAAAAAAGGAAGCAATCAGCGCTGATTGTAAAAGCTTGAGCTTGATCAGAGAAAATCATCCTGCATGGCTTCCCTCTGCTCACCAACATCTGAGTCAGGAGTGACAGCAGAACAGTCTGTTTTTATTGTGATTACGTCCATGAAAGCGGCTCTGATTTCAGCTCTCGGACAGATTCGAAAGGATTAGGGCAGATTTGATACCGCAGGGCCGACCCATTTATGTCCTCCCTGCCCGGAGAAACGCTCAAAGACATTTCATAGGTCAAAGATGAATCTGTTCACTGTGCCTTCTGGACTGAAGTTTGATAGTTGAATCTTTGCTGCTTTTTAATGAAAGACGATTCATGTGCAAAGAGAAGCTATTTCAAGCTATTAATATTAACCACAGCTTCCCATTTTGAATCAAAGAATGAGTATTTAAAAAAGGGCAACTATGGTTTTATTTCAATCTTGTGTGATAAATATTAAAACAAAAAAAAGAACAAGAGAATTTTCTTCAAACTGAACTGACTACTTTTTGTGTATTGTGTCTTAGGAGGTCCTTCACTAAAGGGAGAAGTTCAGGGTCTCTCTTCAGAAAACACTAGTAAGATTGTGATCATTCCTCATTTTGTGTTGTTTGTTGTAGCACATCTTTGGATTAAGAATAATTTCTGCTGCTCAAGGCTCTCTGAATCTCAGTGATCCACCACTCATAGCTTGGAAACAACTTGGATTAATCGACACTGCCACCTAGTGGAAAATCAAAGAACAGCTTCAAAAGAAGTTTATTAAAACATTTTTATTTCAGCTTTGAATTTAGTTTAAAAAGTATACATGAGCGAAGAAATTTAAAGCATTCAAAATGTATTCTCTAGTGATTCTAAATGTTTATTCCCACTCAAGTGTTTGAAAGAGAGTTCATGTAGAAGAGTCCTGTGTGAATATAAAATGTTCAGCGAAGCTTACGCAACACCAAAGCTAAGTTTTCTGCTTTGACTTTCAATGAAGCTGAGGAAAAGCGTATCATACGTGCAGCGCAGGGAAGACCTTGGGCATAAACAAAGCCGTCTCGCTAATTTCAAGCATGATCGATGAGCAATGGGTTTTTAAGCTTCTATCTCACTGGCCCGCCAGCACTAATATGACTTAACATGCGTGGAGTTAATTTTTTATATTTTTTTTAAAAGGATGTGCTTATTTTCAAGCAGCTCCGACAGTACGACAAATGTTTACCATATCCCTCTAAAAATGTTGAGGAAACAACAAGGAAAACAGAGTAAGAAAAACACACTGAGCTTATCTATGTCTTAATCAAACAAGTCTGGGAAGAAGTCACTGCAGTACTGTTCAAATGTGAACTCCTCGACCATAAAAGGAACATCCTTCCACTTTTTAACTGTGATCCTTCCGTCGGGTGTCTCCAAGGCAAAGTTCTTGATGGCGAGATTTGGAAGTATGGCTACCTTCCTGTATTTCATTTCAAATCCCCAATCCTGTAGATGAAAACAGAAGTAAGCCTCAGAATCCAAAATAACCACCATGAACTCTAATGATGATTTGTATTATTCAGCAAAGTGCCATCTGTACTTTGTTGCAGTTGCCATTATTACAGCTGACTGTGCATCCAGGCTCCCAGTCTTCAAAACGTCTCTCCAGCACCACCTTTACACCCAATTTGTAGCGATTCCTAAGAAAACATAGACACAACATTCAGTTGTTTCAGTAGGGTTTACTTTGGACAACGTGTCTTTGGGAAGAGGTGAACTCACTTAAAGTCAGGATTTACGTTGACATAGTGCGCATTTTCAAGGAGTTTAAAGTCACTCCCAGATGCCACTTCTGCAAAACAGTTTCTGCACAAGATCCTGATGCTAGAAGCAGCATGTCGGTTCTTCTTCTCCGTTTTACGATCCTGTAAAACTTTATTCATAATAATGGCCTGTGTTTGGATTTCATTGATCTAGAAATGCAGAAGAAGAAAAAAAATATACAGAAATTGTAAGCAGCAAAGAAAAATGTAGCAAAAACAAGGAACTTTTGTTGCATCCTCACCTTTCTGCGGAACTCATGCTCACTCATGCTCTGGACCCTAGCAATGGCTTTTCCAGTCAGCTCTTCCAGGTATTCGTTGATGTGCTCTCGGCGGATCTCCCGTCCGCCTTTTTGGGCGACCACTGAATACTGGCTGTCCCGTGCTCGGGCACGTCCACTGGCCTGCTGCTGTGCGATCTCATTCGTAAGGAGTCCATATCGTACCACTAGGTTGCATTCAGGGATGTCGAGGCCTTCCTCAGCCACACTGGTGGAGATCAGGAGGTTCAGTATACCATTCCGGAAGTTGCGGATTGTGTCCGCCTGCTCATTCTATAAAAAAAGCATAAAATAAATAAAAATCCATCTTTGAAAAGTTGCTAAAGAGAGGGAAAAGCTTTTTGTTTGATTGAATCTGTCATAGACACACCTGTGTCATATAAGTGATGCCATTACCAGCCCCTGTAAGGATGGCAGCCTTTATCCCCGCTTTCTGCAATGTCCTATTCTTCTGGACCCAGTCGAGGAGGCAGCGGGTGCTCCTGCGAGTTCTGGAAAAGAGAATGCCCCGAGACTGGACATCTGGACCGAACTGGCCAAGCAGCGTGCTCTCAAGTTTTGCCATTTTTGGGTTCTCGTAGCGGGGATCTGCAGCAAAATTCTTCAGCTCCACCTGATTCTCTGTAGCAAAACCAAAAGCATAACACAGATACATATGTTTGTATAACGAACATAGAATTTCAATGGAGGCAGAAAAAAACTAAACAAGCTCAGAATTCCCACCTTGAAAAAGTCCCACCAGGAAGTAATCTGTTCCATCAATGGCCGTAATGACTTTTGTGTCGTAGAATTCCTCCAAAGAGCGATATGCATCCATCATGCGCAGCGTGTCATTGATGAGCAGAGCGTCATTATACTGTCTAAGATGGAGTGCACATTGTGCCAATAGCCTGTTGTCCTGGCTAACTCCTGATCCAAAAAGATACATCAGTATAGTCAATGAAATGGGATGCCTTCTTCTAGGATCAAATTGCTTTTTTCCAGTCTAAAAAAACAAATGAAACAATTAAACTGAACTCAAAAGTCTTACCTCGTTGCTCCAGAATCACAACATCTGCCTCATATTCTTGCGTGCCACATTCTCTGAGCCTCACGTCAGGAGGAAGGCTCATGAATCCGTGGATCTGCTGCATCATCCACTTGATATGGTCTCCAAATGGGTCCTTTAAGAAAACAGGTGCATATTAGGTCAACACAACCTGCTTCTGTGTGCGTGGCGTTGTATCTTGTACCCTTCTCAAACAAAAGGGTGGGCATGGAGTGTGCCTTACGGGGCCCAAAGCCCAGTCTCCATGAGAAGAAGTGCTGATTTCAGTTTAGGACCAAGGTGTCCTAAATCTAACCTTGAGTTTAGAGCCAGGGTTAGAATAGAAATTAATTACAAATGAATGGGAGTCAATGTAGAGTCTTTGTGAAGATAGAAAAACATACTGCCTTGTTCATGTGCGTGCGTGTGTGACATGCCACCCTGGGTGGTGTGGAACATCATCCGTTAAAAGGGCTTTGTGTAGCAGATATTTCACCTCTTTGTGACCTAACTTCCTAAATTACCCAAATACTAAACACGGTTTGTCTGCTACGTTGCATATCACAAAATGTGCTTACTGCTGTTCTCTTCTCCACAATGTCAAAGGTCTTTTGGGGCCGGGGCACCTTCTCCTCCAGCTCAGGAGTGTAGTTTTTAGTTGAGACAATAACTGAGTCTAAGTTGGCACAGATCTGAAAGATGGAGAGGGAGAAAAAAAAAGAGTGTGTTTCAGTAGGAGCTACTGATGGGAAAAGAGGCAAAATCCTGAATTTTAGTTCATCTGACCTCCAGCACATGATTCACAGCCTCTTCCAGGACCTTTGCACCTCCTGTCCCAGGTGATGCAGTGAGACCCAGGATCTGTGGTATCCGTCGTTGTCCTTTCAGCTTTTTCTCCACGTAGCATCTCATTATTTTGTTGTAGACCGACTCCTTGTGGGTGTGATGGCACTCGTCGATTATCAGAAGAGTGATATCTGAGTGCAAACATAAATGGAGTATGTGGTTAGGTTTGCTCAGCACCATAAGCACCATGAAGTTGGAAGTTTCCTGTTCAGCTTCACAGACCTGAGAGCTCAACGTGTTTTGCCTCCTCCTTGTTGATCAAAGCATTATACAGGATCTGAGCTGTGCAGATGATCACGTCATTGTCCTGCACCACTATCCCAAAGAAATCCTTCTCCTGGCTGTCACCGCTGACTTTCATGAGTTTATAACCACTACCCAGGTAAGGCTCAAACTCTTTGGTGTAATGTTGATCCACAAGATGAACCTGTGATTATGAGAGGATTAGAGTAGTAAGTAACCTCAAAAGAAATGTGTTTAAATACATACATACATGCAAAACGTGTGTTTCTCTTTCTCTCTTTTCATTGCTTGAGTACCTTGTTGACCAGCACCATCACTTTAGCATTTGCCGTGGTCTCCAAATGCCTTCTGGCTACATAGACAGCAGCTCGGGTCTTTCCGCCTCCAGTTGGAAGCCAAATGATAACATTTTCTCCCTTCAGTGCCCTTTCAACCACTTCCTTCTGGTAGGAACGTAGTTCAAACTCTCCCATCCTGTGCTTAAGTCTTAGGAAGCCTCTAAAATACAAGCATTCCACGAGGGGAGCATAAAGGATTTAATTATTCTCATTAATCTGTTAGAAAAGTAAGAGGCTTTTAAACTTACCAATTAGATGTAAGAAAGGTAGGTTCTGTGCTTTCAGCTTCTTCTTCTCTACTGTCATTTCTCAAGGCAGGTTTTAAATAGCTTCGAGTCGTGACGTTTAAACTGGAAAACGAAAGTAAAAAACATCTGATCCAGTAAGCTTGGCCCTACTGAGGGAGTTTCTGGAAGAGCAACACTTTACAGTCATTATGCAATGACACAAGAAACCTGATCCTAACTCAGAGAGGATGTTTTTTTACAACCTCCATTTGAAATGAAATATTTTCCTCATATGTACATTGAACAATCTACATTTATTTATGTAATATGTTTGTCGGCAGAAGTTCAAATCTATTAAACGTTCTGCTTCCTGGTCAGTTCGATGTACCCTAACCGGGCCCCTCTCTTGTTCTTACACCAGAAAAACAAAACTTACAGCAAGTTTCTGTTAGCCAGGGTGGCATGTTAGCTGGATGGCCACAACAAACACTAAGACTTTGCATGCAGACCCTTAACAGCGGTGCGTGTTTGTTTTTCTTTTTGCTGTTGGGAAAGTGAAACTTGTAGCCTTGCAGCAGAGAAGACACACCTCTTTAGTTAGCTGTTGCAGTTTCTGATGTATAAAGGGTGAAACATTTGTTAAAACACAAATGACACTGGATCATTTTGTAGTTTCTTTCAAAGTATCCATTGGCACAAGGGCTGGGCGATATGAGGAAAATCTCTCCCACTTGAGGCATGGACTACAGCTTAAAATTGATAATAAATGCCTTACAGATTCAATAATTGTCACACTCTACTAGAAAGAAAAAATTACTGTCTATACTTTTTAGAACCAGAATTTCCACAGATGATTAACCTCTTGGAAGACCTCCAAGTTAAATCACACAAGTTGAGGCTTTTCTTCAGGGTTAATTACTGAGTGAGTCAGAGATGGAAATCACCTGAAAACATCAAATATTTACATAAAAACATATTTATTGTCGTGAACAGTTTTACAGTAAATGGCATTCAACTCCAACTGAAGCCTTTTTTTTTTTTGTTTTAAGAGATTGAAATGCAGCATAGGTGGATTTAAGGTGAAATTGCGTTATTGAAAACCCTGAATAATGCAGCACTGACATCACTTCAACAAAGCTCTTAAGTCATTCAAGTACAAAATAAAAGATTATCACACACATACAGTGTCAATGAAACATTCAATACGCTGAATCGGTCAGCATTTGACATTTACTTCCCTGAAAAACTAGATGCAGCTCAGGAAGCACTTTGACACTGACCAATAAAAATAATAATAAAAAAAATGTTTTATAGGTAAATAGCAAATGCATAAACAGCAAAAACAAGTGGTTTATTTTCTAAAATGGAAAAATGTAAACTGCTACGCATTAACATCTACTTTGGGTTGTGTGGAGTCAATATGATGTGAGAATTAAACCAAAGTCAAGTCTTCCTGCATCTCTTCTCCCCACTTTGTTTGCATCTTCATCTCAATAATTCAACAAAAAAAAAAAACATTGCGTGTTATGTTAAACACATTTCTATTTATATATAACATGTTTGAGAAAACTGACTACAAAAAAAAACAAAAAAAAAACTAGTCGGTGCCATCACCTACTATTCACCAATACAGGGATTTTTAAAGCTAATAATGACAACTTGTAGTGAAGTATCTGGTACAAAACCTTGCTAATGATGGAATGATGCTTGGAGAGGTTCTTTTAACATCATGAAGGTGCGTGATGTTCTGATCACAAAAGCGTTTGTTTTTGTGATCAGAAAACACAAAAACAGTTTGGCACAGGAAATATTTGAAACCAATTCCATGCCTGGAAGTGAGGCCAAACATGTCCTTTAACTTCAGAAGAAGATTCATTTGTCTGGAGTAAACAATGCCTTAAAAAGCTGTTTCCCTAAATGATGATAAAACTTATTTCTCTAGAATAATAATATAAAAAAAAGGACCACGAGTACTTGAGGAAAACTTTTTTTCCATGTTATAACAAACAAAAATCTATTTACATTTTTTAATTAATGACTGCTTCAAGTGGACTCAGTATTTTGAGCGAACTTTCACCTCTCCAAACAAACCCTCTGAGAAGGGCAACCTTCACACCTGTGAACTGGCTGGGATGTTCAAGTGTCTTTCAGTAACAGAAGGCAACATGGCTTTAGGTCCCAAAGTCCAGTTTTCTGACATACACTGGCTCCTGTGACTTGTTTTATGCAACCAAACCATCATTCAATGACAATAAATATGAATCAGTAAATAACACAACAGAAGCAGTTTTAAATCTTGGACCTGTACAACTTTGGTACACTCAATGAGGCATGAATAATTCACATTATTCTCCCACTGAGCTCTGGGAAATGCCACAAGATGACTTGAAGAAGATGTCAGTTTGACACTGTTGATGCTCAGCCGACTTTGATGCCTTTCTTTTCTTAAGTCCCACAAATCCTTTCCAAAATGTATTGTTTTCATACGTTTTTTTTCTTACCCCAGATATGACGAAAGCTGGCAATTTTTTTTTTTTTCACATAAGCTATAGTTCATTTCTCTATCAGGCCTCCGTCTTTTAATTTGAAGTAGAAGAACTTCTCCAACGTGTTGGCACACTTGCAGTACTCGCTGTCTGGGGGGTTGTACTCGCGACAATTGCTGATGATTCGCTGAAGATCCGCAATAAAGAGCTTCTTGGTTACATAGTATCTGTTCTTGAGTTTCTCTGTCATGGTCTTCAGGTCTCAATGTAAAAGTAAAGAAAAACACTTAATAGTGCTTAGGAAATACAGGAATTCCATAATAAGACACAAGATTTATACATTTGCTAATTCTAAGCCAGTCCAGCAAAAGAAGTGGATTAAAATATTCTTTGAAAAAAAAGAAAAACTTCAAGATCTATTTATTACATAAAAATAGAATCAAAGGAAATAGTGAAGGATTTATTAAATAAACCAATAGGACATGCCGTTTTAAATTTGTTTGATATAGTTTATATTTCATGAAATACCAGGCTTTGGACATTTAAAATAAGAATAAACATATGGATGATATTAATCTATTAAAAAGAGGTAGATGCTCTCTTACCAATAGGAAAGCGGATGACTTCATAGTAATCAGGAGCTTCAGATTTCTTCACTGGTTCCATGAAAGGCCAAGCATCAGGATGAGTCTGACAAGAAAATAGAATAAACTCAAATTGCCACAGAGCTTCAAAAAATGTTTAGCTTCATAACTCCACACTTTTCTAGACCCCAAATTCCAGATTTTCTCGATGGCTTTAAGAACATATTGGACCAGTGAATATAAAACCCTGAAAATGCTTGTGCTGCAGTCAAAAAATGAATTGCAAAAAATGAATTATTCAAAACACAATGATTTTCACTTTATGAGAATTACATCATGTGTAAAAGATTTAATGAAACAACGTGACAAATCTGACAAAGTCAAATTAAATTATATTGAAACTTTATTGTGGCAATCACAAAGCTCCATATGTATGTCAGGCATATTTGTAAAGGGCTGGTTCAGAAACCTTTGACCTTTCTGTCAACTTTCCAACTTTAAACTCAGAAAATTCTGTATCTAAGGAAAAATGTAACACTTCCTCTACAATATTAAATCAGTCATGAAGTGTAATTGCATAAGAAAGGTTCTTTATTTTCCTTTCCTTGTGCGTCATCACAGGACACAACAAACTGAAAAAGTTAAGGCACTGCATGTCTGAGTGGCACACTACTGGTTACTGTAATGCATTACTGATAATGTACTAATGCTACCACAAAGGAGCTTTTATGCACCAGCTGTCCTCATTAATTATTCATTGGTTAGATGATAAATTGTGTGCTTTCTTTAAGAAACAAAAACTTTGCAACTTCTTAACTGCTTCTGAAACTGTTGAAAGGTTTCAACATTCAGGCTGCTGCAAAATACTAAAATTGGCCAACAATGGATTTGACAAAACAAACAGTGGAAATGTTCAATGTGTTGTCATGGTATAAAACTCTGAGGTCTTCTATTTTACAACCCAGAAAACAAAATACTGATGGTAAACTTTAAATGGAAGCGGTGATATAAGCATAAAGTGGTTTTCCAGTTTGGTGTGAGCAAAGGAGAAAAATTATGCAGCAAGTACTTTGTATTTTTAAAAACATAATATCAGGGATTTACAAGTTTATTCCAATTTATCCATCAAATTAGGTGTCTGCAGGGTTTACCCGATTTTTGTAAAAGATGTTTTTAAAGTGCACACTGGTGGTTGATGATTTTCTTCACCGAAATCCATCAGTCGTTCTTAGTCTTAATGCATTTATTGAATAGAAAAGAAAATTTAAGATATTTTTAATTCCTGAAAACTGATCAATAAGAGTCTACGGATTGGGGAACATGTGGTTTAAGGAATATGCTCAGAAAAAGCAAACCTTTGATATTCTATATTTTCTTCTTTCCAACAATGAACCAGTTACAGAAAACAATTCATACAAATTCTATAGTTTTCAAGACAGAGTAGAACCATTTTTATTGGTCCCAGTTTGGTAATTTTTGTTTTCTGTTGGCAGGTGATTCTAACCTTTATTTGTGCCAGAAGGTTCTTCAGCATGTTGTAAAGCACATCAGGGTCCTTCACCTCTTTCCTGCAGAAGATCAATGTTTAAACTAAAAATGATGCAGAAGACTATCTACATGCAAATAAAAGATACAAAAATTGGGTAAAATAATCAACGCAGCCTATAGAAGGTGTTTACCCTTTGTCCTTGCTACTGGGTTTCCAGCCTGTCTCTCCTGAAACGAATACAGATCTTAGTCATATGATGAATAATTTAATTGTACATGTCAGCTTACACCTTGTACACACTCACTTATTCCAGGGATGCTTTCCACTGGGATCTGTCGCACGCCCTCTTTGAAGCAGGTCAGACCTGGGTAAACCTTTCTGATCTGACTCTGTTTTCTCTCAATCAGCTTCTTTATAATCTAGAATGATCACACCAAAATTGGATATAATAAACATATTACAAACACAGATACACTCAAAACTGGTATTTTTTGGCAGTAAAGATTCTTATCCTTACACACCTCCTTCTGTCTTTTAATAATGTGAGAAAGCTCTGTGTAGGGGATCCTTGGGTTTAGCTCGCACTCCATCAAGGTTGCTCCCTCATAGTCTTTGATATAGCCCAGGTATCGACCCTTGGGGACTTTGATATCTTTGGAGAAACCCTATGTAGAAAAAAAATAATAATATTAAAGATAAAAGGAGACATGAATCAACAGAAGCACTGATAACGGAGTTGCTGTGCCTCCAGTACCTGCTTTTTGAAGTAGCCAATGGCATACTCATCAGCATAAGTGAGGAAATAAAGGATGTTGTGTTTAATGTGATACTCCTTCAGGTGGTTCATCAGGTGGGTGCCATAGCCCTTTAAAAAAAAGTAAACACAGATACGTTGCTATTATTTACTGAGATGTATGACAAACAGATGCCAAACAAAATATCTTGCGGATCTTCCCACACTGTATTCATGTAGCGCTTTTACAAACTAAACTTGCCAATTCCTTTGAATCTTGAAAATGTTTTAATTTATCTAAGCTGATGTAACAATTCCAACTTTGAATAGACCAAAATGTTTTCTCTTTTTCCTAAAATCAATATAT